TTTTCAAGATTGTTTACTGGGCCATTGCATTTCCGTATACATTTTAGGCTCAGCTTCTCATTTTCTACAAAATGCCGGGTGGGATTTTGATTGAGACTACATTGAATCTTTAGGTCAGTTTGAGGGGTATTCAGTGCTCTTATCCATGAACATAGACTGTCTCTCCATTTATTTCGGTGTTTTAAAATTCTCAGCAATGCCAGGATACATTTGAATTTTTAAAAATCCAGTTTTGTGGATGAGAATGTGTGAATTGATGCACACAGAGAGAAAAGCCTGGAGCAGTAACCAGACTGAACTGTGGTTACCTCAGGAGGTGATTTAGGGAGAGGGAGTGAAGGAGGTATTTGGTTTTTATTTTATATACTTCTGTACTTGAATATTTTCCATCATTCATATATTTTCCTAGTTAAATAAGGTCAGAGTTTATGATGTAAAAGTGATTGTCTGCATTGGAATTTACTAGAAGTTTCTATAATTGATGAACTTATTTAGTACACTTTAATATATTTGGTTTAAAATTTTTAAGAAATATCTTTATTGCAAAAAATCAGGGTATGGCTATAGGCTCCTTTGAACAGGTTTAACCATGAAAATAATTATATGGAGCAAAAGCTGTATTTTCTCCTACTATGATTTCCTAAAATGGAATGTTCCCCCTTTTCTTCCCAGCAGTTCTTAGCATTAGTTCTTCACCTGGGGTGATTAGAACACCCCAAAACAGAAAGCAAACACCAGGCTATCTCTGGGTTTAAAGCAGAGCCAGGGCCCTGCCGTTGGGGGTGAGGGTCAGATATCCTGGCGGAGACCACCAAATGCCTGAGGGAAGTGCAGGAAGGCGCTGTCCCCACGTCATGGCTTCTTAACCTTCTCTCCTCCTGCTACGAGGATGTTGGGGTCAGTTTCTGTTTAACTCCCCACTGCCTGGCACCGCAGTATGCACGAGTTGGCATGGCAGAGCCGGTGTCCTCGGACTTTTAAAGTGTCCAGTGTGGGGTTGTGAGTGCAGCCCACCTTGGTCCCACTGTCCCAGGCATTAGTGGGGTGGGAGCATTGGCAAGAAGCTTTCGTTGAACTGCAGAGCAGGGACTGAAGGAAGGAGATGCACCCATGCTCGGATGCCAGGCACCCTCATGCCCTTCCTGCTGGGTGCCCTCTGTGGATTCTGTGGTGTAGGGAGGTAGAGTTCTTCCCCCAGAGTGGAGGGTGCCGGTGAAGCAGTCTGCCCTTCCCATCTCCAGTTCAGCTGGCTCCAGCTTCAGGAGGCCCACCGTCCCTTAGTCATCCACTTCAGGTTTTAAATACTGACAGATGAGTTTGCATTCACTGTGATTTTAATTCTTTGTCACTTGTGCTTTGGAGACTTTTTGTCTGTGTGCTGTGACAAACTTGATAAAGAAAACAGCAGCAAAAGCAGTCAGCTTCCCCAGCACCTGCCTGCAGCTGCAGTGGCGAGCGCACTAGTTCCTTGCAGGCAAGGCCCAGGACCCCCACTTGCCCTGGTTCCTCCATAAGGCCCTCTGACCTGCCTGCTACTTCTGTTATCTAGAAGTACAAGGTGTTAGAAGGGCAATGCAAAGAAGAACAGTCTCTTGCTTGAGTTGAGTGTGGAAAGACAGAAGAGGCCAATCTTCACTTTTCATTGGCTTTATAAGTGACCCGCGCTGTTGCTGAGGAATGGTCACAGCTCCGGGGGACAGTGACAAGGCAGTTGTCCTCTGTGAGGAAGGAGAATTGCTAGTCAGGAGGAGGCCGTGGGTGTTGCCCTCAGTATTTGCTTTTGTTATCTGATCAACCCACAAGACAGCAAACCAACCTGAGCTGTTGCAAGTGTGCTTCCTGTGTTGAGTGCAGCGTCGTTGTAATGCTAATGCTTGCAACTTAGCTCCCCGGAAACAGTTTAGGTCATCATTTCGATCAATAAGGCAGCATAATTTGTAGGCTTTGAAAAATTTACACTTGCCTTGGGTGTATTTGTATCCTTGTTGTTCTTGTTTCATTTGAAGATTTCCAGGTGAGGCCATCTTCAGTGAAAGAGAAGTGAGATTGTCTGGAAGCAAGGCAGTAAACCTTGTCCAAAAACAGCACTGTGGTGTTTCCCACTGCTGGCTCGGGAGTTGCCTTGAAGGCATGTTCCATAGGGTCAGGCATGCCGCTGCACACCCCTGCCCACCTGCCCAGCTGTCTGGGTGCCAGGCATTCTAGAAAAGAGAAAGAAACCCCAGTTTCAAACCAGTAGTAAACCCAAGCATTTGCAAATAGCTTTGATATTTAAGATGTGGGTGCACTTCAGGAAATGTTCGGTCATGCTTCTGAGGCTAGGAACGACCTGGTGGATTAAAAAAATTTTTTTAAAAGAAAGCCCTATTATGAGAAACAAAGAACTGTTATCAGAGTATTGAGCAAATACCATTTGGCTCATTCCAAAAACACTACCCAGGTATTTTTTCTTATTCTAGACTCAGAGGTGCCAGAAATATTGAGTGCTGGCAAGCATTCCTGACATATGAACAGTGTTACTTTTAAAGATAGTATCTTTATATGCCTGACTTCTGATTTCGCAGTTTGAACTGTGTTATCTTAACTCTAATACTAAATTGATCTAGGACCTTGGCTGAGTCATTTCATCCTTGAATTTTCCAGCTTTGTTTGACAGTAAAATGAAAACCCCAATCCTTGGTGCCCTTTCATCGGAGGGCGTGTGGAGAGTCAGCGGGTGGCAGCTCTTGTTTGCTCTGAGCTCTTGTACTGGATAGGAGGCTCGGGGTGGCCTTGCATCACTCTGATACGTGGTGTGTGTCCTCCTGTGTTGAGAAGGCGGGTCTTCAGGGCGTGTTTGTTCAGGCCATTGCTGGGGGAGCAGAATAACCAAGGGTTGAGGCATCTCCAGGCTGCCAGGCGTGGGGGGCAGTGTGGTTGGGGGCTCATCCGGACACTGCCCTCTCCAGCGCGGCTGCTGTACCAGTAGCAGGACGTCATGCTCGTGCCTCCCTTGGTGGCATTCCCTGTCCTGGTCATGCTGAGGCTCTGGGGACTGTCACACAGTAACCTGCCCCCCTCCCCCACCCCTCCTTGCAAAACAAATTGGCCATATTCATATCCTTTCCCCAAAAAGTAGCAGAGACAGTTTTCAGAATCAAAATTTGTCTTTTAGAGTGAAAATCTCCATGAAGCAATCACTGCATTGCTTTTCTCTCTGACTGTTGCATGCAGACCCACCCTCCCAGGGCCGTGAGCCGTTCTGGCATCTGGTGCTGCCCCCAACAGCCCTGAGTGCCACCTCCAGATGAAAGCTAAAGCTCTTCCTTTAGTTTCTTTTTGATTTTTGTCTTCTTTAATTATAGAGATAAATATTTCCAAATCTGTTATTAGTTTCACTGAACCAAGATAATTTTAAGATTTTTAAAACAAATTTTTACTTTTAAGAAATCTGTTTTTTGATTGAAGATTTAAAATGTATTAAAAAATTTTTTTTCCTGTGCCATATCCTGGATTCTTTGTGTAGGCAGTAAATTTGGTGTGGACTGTCCTCTGCTTATCCAGGCCTGGGCCCCTGTGCCAGTGTTCTTTCTGCCTTAGCCATTATTGTGAGAGGGGCAGAGCTGTTTATGAAGGGACTTGTTCTTTCAGCTCATAAAAGTAGGATGATTGACCTACTTATTTATTGATATGATGAGTCATACCCAACGTAAGTTCCACTGTCTCAGTGTCTGTCACTGTCACTCAGCAGTTCTATTTTCTTATCAAAGAAACATGGTCCAAGATCTTTAGAACTCCTCAAATGTGTGTTTTATTAATATGATTTGTAGGAGAGGAAGAGTTCGTCCCTGTTGTGAAGGTACAGGCGTGGTGGCTCTCACTCTTCCTCTCCTGCAGCCACCACACCTTGAACTATTGGTTAAGATAGAGTTAATTTATACCTGTTGTGTTTTAAAGTGTAAGCAGGACTTCTGAAATGGTTTCATCTATTTCTTCCATTTACATGTGAGGGAAGCATAGGTCCAGGGAGACTCTCGTGCCTGTGTCTGTGCCCATGACTCGGAATTGCTCCAATGTTGCGTCAGTGGGATGAGGCATGGCAAGGGGCCTGCAGGTGTAGCCTGGGGTAGTGGTGCCTGCGGGCCTGGCCCTTCACCAAGCGTGCAGCAGTGATCACATGTGTGCTCTTCATCTGCTTCTTGAGGTTACAAAGATCCCTTCTTAAGCACATTGAAAAATTAACAATCATCTTTGAAGTATAACTCTTAGCCCCTCATCTGTTGAAATAGAGTGGAATCTTGCTCTCCCATGTGCTGTAATTCATACCCTTACCCTAAAATGTGATTGTAGCACATCTACAGAAAAATTCCCAGATCCTAGAGCACTGGCATTTGTTCTTTTCTCTGATCCCCTTATTATCAAGAGGTTCTGCTGCTCGACTCAACCTTTATCAGTGTAAAAACTGCCTGTAATTCAGTCTTTGTGCTTGTACCTAAGATTTAGACCAGATTGAAACAGGAGAATGGGACAATGCTTTCCATTGAGAAAAAAGGTACCAATTCATTGTTATTTGGATAATCTTTTCATGTGCATTTTTATTATTTTTTATTTATATTTACATTTATTTATTTTTTTTGAGACATAGTCTCACTTTGTTACCCAGGCTGGAGTACAGTGGCGAGACTTGGCTCACTGCAACCTCTATCTCCCGGGCTCAGATGATTCTCCTGCCTCAGCCTCCCAAGTAGCTGGGGTTACAGGCATGTGCCACCACACCCAGCTAATTTTTGTATTTTTAGTAGAGATGGGGTTTCACCATGTTGGCCAGGCTGGTCTCAAACTCCTGACCTCAGACAATCCACCTGCCTCGGCCTCCCAGAGTGCTAGAATTACAGGCGTGAGCCACTGTGTCCGGCATTGCGCATTTTTAATGTGGCAAAAATGTTCTTAACCCATTTCTCAATTGTGGTAGACATTGAAAAATGTACTTTGAAGTTCAGTCTATATTTTGTATCTTCTAGGGGCCCAGAAGACACCTGCTTTGAGTTTGGTGTTTTTCCTGCCATCCTGAGTTTTCCACTTGATTACCCGTTAAGTCCCCCAAAGATGAGATTTACCTGTGAGATGTTTCATCCCAACAGTAAGTGCTTTTGGAAGTAGTTTTTGTGGTACCAGGATGGGTACGGAGATTATATACCACCTGAAATGTGGTATATTCTATATATCTATGATGTAGATCTTTAGAAAACAGTTCTTAATGTTTTGAAATTTCAACCAGCTAAGCATGGTGGTGTTAAACACATGATTTCAATTTTGAAGGTCAGTTTAATGTAGATACAAGAAAACAGGCACCTAAAACTGGATGCCATTTGACCCAGCCATCCTACTTCACTGGGGAGGAAGTTTTATGCATGGGTGTGTGCTCAGAAGGGGTTACAATAACCCGAATCTTTGTCATAGTGTTATTTTTAATGGTGAAAATGTTGACTTAATCTGGGTTTTTAACACGAGAATCAATTAAGTTACATACTGTATTAGTCTGTTCTCACACTGCTAATAAAGATGTATCTGAGACTGGGTAATATCTAAAGGAAAGAGATTTAATGGGCTCAGTTGCATATGGCTGGAGAGGCCTCACGATCATGGCAAAAGGCAAAGGAGAGAAGCAGGGGCACATCTTACATGGTGGCAGGCAAGAGAGTGTGTGCAGGGGAACTACCATTTATAAAACTATCAGATCTTGTGAGACTTACGCACTGTCATGAGAATAGCATGGGAAAGATGTGCCCCATGATTCAGTACCTCCCACTGGGTCCCTCTCACTACATGTGGGAATTATGGGAGCTACAATTCAAGATGAGATTTGGGTGGGACACAGCCAAACCATATCATATATGTTAGAATGTGATGTAGATTTTTAAAATAATCTAAAATAAGAATCATTGATACAAAATAATAATTGTGTTATATTGTCTAGGAAAAGCAGTAGGACTATTATAATTTCCTCTTTTGAAAAATTCACATGTAAATGTATATGTAACTGGAAAATAAGCACAAAATTGTTAAAAGTGATTCTTCTTTCAGATTGGAATTATTTTTTCCTTTTTATAAATATTTTTTACCCTAAAATTAATATATATTTTTAAAAGAGGAAAAAACAAGGTCATTTAAGCGAATTGTACTGTAGCTTATTTGAAAATATGTCCAGTAGTAGAAATTGGAATTCCGAAACAGCTGTAGTTTTTAAGTCTTCCTTTTACACTTGGGGATTATAAGCAAGTAAATAAGGAAATATATTTTCAATGATTGTCTTTAGAATAATATTTCTTACAAATTATTATTGCCACTGATAATCATGACCTTAATAGCTATAGAGGAGAAAAGGAAATAAAAGTATCCTGTTTTGTAAAAATGAGATATTTATTTGAAACCAGTTTCTTATTATATACATATCAAATAGCATGAGAGAATTTTCTGAGCCTCTGACTTCTCTCTGGGGTTAAAACAGAGTCCATTTGATACGCTTCCCCCTTGTCTACACCTGTGTAGGCAGAGCCCCAGTTGAACTCCTCCTAGCCACAGGGGTTTTCAGGACTGCCTCACCCTCCCCGCTTCCCTGGTGGAAGTGCTCTCTGCTGTTGGACTTGCTGTCCTAACCCTCATTGAGGACTTCTCATTTACTGCAGGGATTGGTACACGTAAGTAGTGGGCTGCCCCCTGAGAGACGATTCTGTACTTCTCCTCCTAGCTCTAATTCGGTCTTGTGTGCACAGGAGTTGCTCAGAGGCGTGCCTTCTTTCAGGGAGACTGGCCGTGAGCCTGAGTTAGACAACAGAGAGGCTCATCATACACTGTCTACTTGAGTGTGGGATTCTCCATGATAAAAAGTTAAATAATACAATTGATAGGTAAGAGTAATTGAAGTGATCAGTTTCAGGTTGGTTAGCTGTAAAATACAACCATGAAGAGGATTGTAGGTAGTTAAATAAAATACTAAGATTGTATTGATGATAAATATATTATTACGAACAATACCTGTGACGTGGCATTAGAGACAAATATGGCCATAAACTGATTATGTGATGTGACTGTGCTATAGGTGGTCTGATTTTTTTTTTTAATGTTCTGGTAATTATTTTTAATGCTCAGATAATATAATTGTAAATTTTTGCCTTACTGTAATTGGATTATTTTGATTTTGTAAAAGTTATCTTTGAGAACTATAGGTCTACCAATATCATAAAAATTAGTCAATAAATACTTAAAAAAATATCAACACATATACTGAAAGTTGCTGGGATACGTTGTTGAGCAAATAAGAACCTACCTTCAGGAGCTTACAGTCTAAGGACAGGGATGGACATTGATGGAAGAATTGCACAAATAAACGCAGAGTCACATCAGGAAGGTCCCGGAAGCAGCCTGCAGACATGGTGGTTGGACGGACCATCTGTAGGGAGGAAAGCAGGAGTTACCTAAGTGATTCAGGGAGGAGGGGCCCTTGACATGCACAGGCCCTGCGCAGAAAGTAAGGGGAGAAGAAGGCGTCAGGCCTTTTGGTCAATCCTAAAGGTTTTGATGTTTTATCCTGGGAGCAGCGGAACTCCATTGCAAGTCCACAAGGGAGTAGCATGACCAGAGTGATCTCTGAAGGCTCCCTCTGCATATAGTTCAAAGGGTAGATGGAGGGAAACCAGGCAGGCCTTTGGGCGGAGTGGTCAAGGGCAGAGACACTGGCAGCTTGGGAACCGAATGTCGTGGGCGTGAAAGATGAAGAGGTGTGGGTGAATCCATGAGACGTTTAGGACATGGCGCTGCTGAGACTTGGTGAAGGAGGGGCTGTGGCAGGGACACGGGTGGTTTGGGTGCTTCTGTGGATGCACAGTGTCACCCTGTGGGACCACCACCTGGAGAAGGCAGCACAGAAGTGGGAACTTGCAGATTTTGTGGATGTAGTTCTTAGGCGGACAGCCCGATGTCCAGGACAAGTCTGCATCTAGTTTCTTCAACTCTCCTTGAGTGAGAGGTTGTGTCAGTTCCTGGATGGCTGGAGAGCACTCATCACTGAAGCAGTGGATGGGTGGAAAAGCACAGGACCAGGTATGGAAGACAAGCCTGTTTGAAGGTAAATGAGCACTATTAACATTTGGAAATTTTCATGAAATTCAGAACTCATGAATTAAGGTGAGTCAAATAAATGTATTTTAAAGTTGATGTTTCTATTACAACTTTAACGGCTTTACACTTTTACAGTTGAGTCTATCCAGATGGATTACTGAGTATATAAATGAAGCCACCTGAGAATTTCTCCTGGTTATATGTAAAAGCAAAATAGCATGCTTTTAAATTTATTGAGAGGACTGATTACATGCTGTGAATTGAAAATTTATTTCTCTGTCAGACCTCATGTGTCTTTTTAAGGATAATGTTTGGTGGAGAGGGCTTTGATTTAGGTACATTGGCCTCCATTCCAGGTAGTACTGATAATTTACTTACTATTAGACTCGGCTGCCAAGAGAGGTCCTGGTGCCTTTCTTTTTCCAGAGATTTAAATAATTCCAGTTACCTTTATGATAGCCATGTGAACCTATCTTTTACACAGACCCGTTCAGGAACTTAATGGTAGAATTAGAAATATCTAAGAAACTAGCTCTGAAAAGTATTATAATAATCCTAATCATATTAGATATTTTGATAAAATATTTGCCAGATAAACTTTCATTTGCTCTTTCTGATATAATGCTTCAAAAAAATTATATGAAAGTAGAAGTGTACTACAGCTGATTAGAACTGGCTGGGTCAACCTGGAGCCCGTCAGTGAGTGAGTGAGCAGGCCCCACCGGGATTCCTGCAGACTTGAAGTGTGACGCTCAGTGCCCCAGGCTGTGTCCCAGCTGTGCAAACAGCTTGGTTTCTGTGTCTACAATCCTTGTTTTCGTTATCTGTGAAGCCTCTCCAAGCTCGGGGACGCCTGGGGCACCATTCCTGGGCTCACCTGGTTGCCTCTGACCCTTGCAGTCTACCCCGATGGGAGAGTCTGCATTTCCATCCTCCACGCACCCGGCGACGACCCCATGGGCTATGAGAGCAGCGCGGAGCGGTGGAGTCCCGTGCAGAGCGTGGAGAAGATCCTGCTGTCGGTGGTGAGCATGCTGGCAGGTAAGGCCCAGCTTCCTGGCAGGAGCTGCTGTGGAAGTCCAGGCTGCAGGCGTTCTCCTTCCTCGGGTAATCCTGTCTTTATAATGGACTTTATCTTCACACACTTTTCCAGTTGTAAGCATACTTTCTAGCATAGCCGAGTGCTGTGTATTTTATTGTCGACCATAATTAACTGGTCTCTGGTCCTTGAACGTCTTGTTCCCTCAGTAGGTGTTTACTGAGGACCTACTACATGCCACACACTGAACTGGGGGTGTAAAGCTCTGTGTGACAAAATCTCAACTCTGTGTGGCTACGTTGTAGGGAACTCTCCAAGGACGCAGCCCGAGATCATACATGCAGGTAGTCTCAGGCCACTTCCTGGTGGAGCTGTCTGGGGTGTGTTTAGGATATGTAGGTGTTAATGAGGTAGGAGGGCGGGCAAGACTTTTGGGGCAAAGGATGCAGCCTGGGCTGAGGCCCAGAGGCAGCAGGTGGCTAACTTGATGGGGCACTGCCAGCTCATTTTGGCTGGAGCCAAGGTTACAGGAAGAAAAGCCCTGGCAGACCCTGGGAATGGGAGTGGGGGCGACATTATGTGAGCTGTGCCTGAGAAGGACCCTCCTGGAAGTGCGGTGGGAAGACAGCAAGGACTTAGTGCTACCGCAGTAGCCTGGGGGAGAAGAGGAGAGTGGTCCCAGGGCTGAGAGGATGGGTGGGTTTGGGAGACCTTAAAGGTACGGGCTCCCAAACCTACCCATCCTGGTTCTTTGTCTGCCACAGGTGCTGCTCTGGGTTCAGGAGGCAGCAGGATTTGGGGAACAGGTTGGGGTATATGGGACAAAGGGGTCAGTCGTGGGAGTGAAGATGGGTCATTTCTGGATGAGGCAGTAGGTGAAGGAGCAGGACAATGTGATGGGATGGCAGGGAGGAGTCCTCCAGGACAGGCGGGGGAAGGTGTGGGAAAGGAAGGCGGTGAGTCTGGGAGGAAGGAGCAGACCCAGCTGAGGGCTGGGGATGGATGCCAGAGTGAGGCCACTCAGCTATTTTCAGCAGAACCCTTTGGTGCAGTCGAGTGGGGTCTGGAGAGATGTGAGGTCAGGGCTTGTGGCATGAGCGTGTATCCTAAGAGGGATGAGGCGGAACTCTGTTCATGTGCTGAGTGGAGGAAGCCAGGCCAGGGGATTGGACCTTGGGAGGGAGACAGTGGCTCAGGCTGTCCTCAGATGTCAGCTCTGGGTTTTATCCTCATCCACTCTGCTCTGAACCAGCCCCCACATGCATTCTGAGCAGCGCCGCCACCACACGGCACAGCTGCTTTGGCACATTGTCATCTAGTTGTGGTGGTCTCTGTCCTTTCTGCCTTCCTGGCAGGCCCTGGCTGTTCCTTCCATGCCTCCTGACTGCAGTTCTGGAGTGAGTGCCAGGGCCGCTGGCTATCGGGTGGGTCAAGTATCCTGGGGTCAGGCATCTGACTTAGGCTGCACATTTGCTTGGGATTGTCCTGGTAGGAGCTGTGAGGGGCAGTTCTGCTGAGAGGTGCTCTGTGAGAGAGAAGTCACGTGGCAGAGTGTGTTCGGAAAAGTGAAATAAGCAGCAGGTGGGCCACGTGTAGCTTGTCCAGGTGCCGGAAGTGCAGCAGCTCAGGCGGGTGTTGTGGGAGGCCGTATGGGCCTGTGCTTAGGTGGTTGGTGCATGTTCAGAGCAAGACAGATGACAACTTGTTTTGGTGTCTTCAGACACTCAGGACACAGGAGTGGCTCCCTTTGAGACCTGCGTGGCCAGCCCTCTGGAGGTGGGGCCCACCCCATGCACTTCTCGGGTTCTTGTTTGTTTCTGGGACACAGCTCTTGAAAGTCCCCTCTGTGTTTTAAATAAATGGGAGCACTTGCCAGGCTGCTTATGTGTCAGACTCCCTTCTATATGGAGGGTGTTCCCTTTTCTTTCAGAGCCCAATGATGAAAGCGGAGCTAACGTGGATGCGTCCAAAATGTGGCGCGATGACCGGGAGCAGTTCTATAAGATTGCCAAGCAGATCGTCCAGAAGTCTCTGGGACTCTGAGACCTCCCCGCCCACAGGTGCGCACACACCGCCCAGCAGCTCGGCGTTTTCCTCCGGGGCACTTAGTGACACTGATACTCTGTGCTGGTACCAAACAAGGCAGACTTGCAAGAACCACAGCATCTTTTCTTTTTTAAACCTTTCCCACCCCACACAGGCTTCTCTTCTGAGATGACTGACGTCACCTCTTGACAGCTTACTGCAGTTTTACAGTGTCCCTCACAAAGGGCTTCAGGTAGTTACCAGGGCTGTCAGCACTACCTCTCCCCGCTGAAACCAGCAGTTCATCGCTCCCCGTGGATTCCCTCCCGTCCTGGAGTGTTCAGGGGGTTGTGCCTGCCAGACCTCCAAGGGACGATGGAATACCCAGGACGCTCCTTCTGAAGAGATGGGCCCTGTGGCTGCAGCACAGGGGAGGGCCCAGCACCCCTTCGGGGTCTCTCCTGGCTCCCTGTGGCCCGTGAGGAGTCCGCTCTTCCTTTCTTCCTTCATATTTTACAGGCAGACGCTTTTGTTATAATCTAGTTACAGCTTTTCCATTTGTCGTGTATTACAAACCATCACACTTAGAAATACTTCCAGGAAATGATTTTTTTAAAGCGTGAATTAGTAAGAAATAGGGTGCACAGAAAAGTGTATTGCTGATCACAAGGACGGATAGTTTTTTCCTGACCATACTCGACAAAGATTTACGTTTGTGTGTTAGCAACTAGTGCATTACCAGAGCAGGTGCAGGTGAGGTCTTAGAGCTTCAGTGAGGGTTTCTTCTAGATCTACGGGAATTTTTCTTTTCCAGCCTAAAAACTGGAAGCTCTAGGGTTTTGTACGTTCTGGATGCACTAGGAATTTATTAGCACAAAATCATTCTTTGCAACTCAAAAGTCAGAAGGGACTCTACCATATCTTAGCCCAGAGCACAGAGGAGTGCCTTATCCCCACCCTTGACTGGGCTGTGGAGGTGGGCATGTGGGCCCGTGGGCCCCGGTTGGGGACAGAGCCCATGTTTTGTGACTTAGGATTTTGATGTGGCTCCCATGTTCTCTAACAGGGCCAGCTGAGCAGCACAGGCCAGGAGGCCACAGTATAAGCAATAACAGAACTGCCACATGCAGAAGCAAATATCAGGCCTGTTGCACACAGGTGACATTTAAATAGGAATTTCTATTTTTGAATAAGGGATGGTCTACGAGGCATACAGTAGACTTGATCCTTCTCTGCCTCCCGTCCATAGTGGATCGTGGTCTGTGTGACTGAACCCACGCAGAGCGTCAGGGTTTACCGTTCCTTGTTGAAGGAGCTCCACATTGGGCTTCTGTGGACACCAGATTCTTTCCTTCTCACAAGGGACTTACTTAAAATTTGGAATGCAGGGCAAGAACTCGAATTTGGAAGGAGATGGGGAAAGGAGTGCTACTGTACCTAAGTAGTATTTGCGGGCAAATGAGATGGAGCACTCTCTGTAAAGAAGAGTCGTTGTACAAGTAGAATGGGGGCTGCGGGTGCGGTCCCCAAAGGGCGCACGATTGCCTGCGGCTTCTGTGAGATGAGAGGGCGGGGAGGCAGTCTCTTGACAAAATAAAATATTTTTATTCATTTGTATTTATTAAATGAAAAATCCCATGGTGTCCCTGTTGTGTGAAATAAATCACTGTTGAAATAAAGTTCTGTGTTTTCCCTGCCCTGCAGTGTGTGTCTGTCTGTTGTCTTGTCACCTGACCACAGACAGCCTGTGGCCACTGCCCCAGGGAGCACACCAGATCATCCCAGTTGACACCCGGCCCTGGGATTCCTCCCGGTGGGCTTCTCTGCAGGCTTGGCTTGGCTCTGGCACGTTCTCTTCTCTCGCTCATCTCCTGTCATTCTCTCTGGTCTTTCTCTGGAGTTCTCAGGTTACTTAGTTGGGGTCTGTGAGACAGATGTGTTCACTAACCTATAGATAACATTTTGCAGCTTTTTCAGTAGACGCCATCGTGTGAGTGGTGCATTTGGCTTGTGGCCACTAGAAGCCAGCAGGTGGTTCTGATGGCCCCTCCCTCCTGCAGTTGTGTTCAAGCACAGCTCCCTCTCATCACTCCTCTGTGGTGCTCTGTGGTCACGGTCTGGTAGCGATGAGACCCGGCTCTGTGGTCAGACCAGCCTCTGCATCTTGTTGCTTAGCATGTCAACAAAGAGGCAGATTCCTGGGCCACTGATGTGCTGTTTTTGTGCCTCGTTCCCTGGGCTGGTTCCGAGGCCGCTCCTGGTGGGTGCTCTGTACGGGCATCAGCACAAGCCCCCAGGAGTGTCTCTCTGGTTTGCCCAGTGTTTTCCGTAACCATACTTTTTAATGACTAAGAACTCTAATGTGATACTGAGTTGGGGTCCCCAAGACCACCCAGGGCGGTGATACTCCAGGAGGCCACAGGCAGTGCAGGTCATGGTACTCACGGCTGTGACTTCCCACAGGAAGGATACCGAGTAAAATCAGCCTGGGCCTGAGTCCAGGAACACCAGGCTCAGGCTGTGGAGGCCTCCCTGGGGCGGGAGTTACACAGGATGCGCCTCACTCCCCCTGCAAGCAGCTGGGGCGCTGTTCGTGCGATGTTGGGGCCGCCCTGCCTGGTGGTGTATCTGGTGATGGGTCAGGTGAGCAGTTTCAGCCTGGGCTGTGCCATAATTCCAGACTCCCAGCGGGGACGAGGGTGTTCTGCCTAAACCATCTGGTACCAACAGCTCAGGTCCAGTGAATTGGGGCAGGGGGAGCCCCCCCAAAATCCTAGTCGCCAGACAACAGCCAAGGGTCACCCCAGCCAGCGGGCCTCAGGACAGCCATCCGCGCCCACCATGTGGACTCTTTCTGCACAGATAGCCTTGGGGTTGATAGTGATCTTCACCGTTGTGTTGACTCTGTTTCTGGGTTTTGTCTGCTTGGCCGAGGTTGTTTGCCTGTCTGGCTGAAGGCCGTCGTTGGTTTTCCTGTGCGCCTATCTGGCTCCTGGGATGGGAAGGGCTGCTGGGGTGGCCAGGGAAGCTCTAGGGTCTCATCTTCTGGGTGACGGGACTTCCTACCTTTCCCGGGGTTCAGCAGGCCCAGTTCACTGCGTGGGCCCCAGCGAGGGTGGTGTCCACAGGCTTTGACTCCCACTTCTGGGGTTCCTGCACCTGCTGGGCTTCTCCAGTCCAGCCTCTGTGTAGATGAGGTTGCTAATTTTTCAGAGAGGAGAGCTAGTCTCTATCAGTTTGTTCATAGGATACACAACTGCTCCAGCTGCACAGGAAGCACCCCAGGGCAGCCCCAGCTCCCCTACCCAGGGCGTCCCCTCCACCATGGCCCCCTGAGCTGACGAGGTTTCTGCAGGCCACATATGTGTGCTGGAGGTGAGGGCCCTGGGGATGCCACCTGGATACAAGGAGGGGACAAGGGACACGTACAAAGATTCCAGGCTGCCAAGGGGTAGCCAACACACCAAGGACAGGTGGATTCCGGAAACCCTTCCCAGGAGGGGACTGTGGGGCTGGTTGAGGTGAGGGTAGGGGTTGGGGAGGGGCTGTGGACAGGGCCAACCCCTCTGGGTGCTGGCCTGGGCCATGGACCCTGGGCTGTGGGGGGCACTCTGGGAGGAGGTTTTTAGTTCTGCAGTCTTGATGGAGGGTTTTTCCTGCTCCCTGTTTCTCTGTTGAGGACGCCCATCTCCTCACGCCGCCTGGGTGTGCCCACCTTCACCTCCGGAGGATGGCTGCCGTAACTGCCTTACAGCCTCGTCTGATGGTTCCAGTCTCGGCCTTGTCTTGGGGTTGGCATCTGTTGATTATCTTTTCCTTGGGAATTGTAATTTTTAAATTCACTGTATGTTGAGTAACTTTATTTTTTGTGAATATTTTGAATGTTATGTTTCCAGGCTCTAGGTTTTTGAAATTTCTCTGGAGATCTTTGAAAGCGGGGAATGAACCCTGTTAGCTTCAGGCTGAAGTGTGTTCTGCTTCTGTGGGGGGTGCTTCCAACATTCCTTCAGCTTTCAATGCCCCGCTGTGATCTGGGTCCCCCCCGGGGCGCTCCTCAGGGCCAGCGTGGACTCCGGTGGTGGGTGGTGGTGGCGGCAGAGCTCTCTTGGGCGCTTTCCTGCCTGACGTGGGGCTTTTCTCTCTGTGTGTGGAGCTTTGGGGAGCTGAGAACTTTCATTGGTCCATGCCCGAGTGAGGGGCTCTGCCCAGCCCTCCTCCTCTCAATGTCCCAGGAGCTCCAGGGCGCCTTCCCCACCTTCTCCAGCTGGAATTTGGAATGTACCAAAAATGTCGCCCCTGCTCTAGGCAGCTCAGCACAGCTGGAGCCACCTCAGAACAAGGTATAGAGACGAGCACGGAGCGAAAAACCATGTAACCGTTCGTGGAAGGCACCCTGGACTCGCCCCTTCTCTGGAAAAAAAACCTGTGAGCCAAAGCCACAGCAGATTGGAGAGGCTTGCCCTGCGGGGTGTTCAAGCTCAGAGGGCTCCGGGAAGGCTGGAGCCTCAGGAGAGGGAGCCCGGTCAGGGTGGGGAGGGCACAGGGCAGCAGCTGGTTCTGGAATGAGGGTGGAGCTTAGCAGAGGCAGGGGCTCCTGAGCCACCTGGTGGGGCTGGGCCTGGGGGTGGGGGATGTGAGGGAGGCGTGGCACGGCTCTGGTGGGCCCTGCAGCCCTGGGTCCAGACGGGAAGGTTCACTTGTGCTGTTGTGTGGAAAAGGGCAGAGTCCAGGAAGGAGTAGGATGCGGCGGGAGCCTGGGGACCAGCTGGCGACAGTGAGGAGGGTTACAAGGGGCCCCACATTTATGAGGTGCCACAAGGACACATAGCTCCAGGGGAGGGTGAGGGGCTGCAGGACCTGGGGGCAAACAGGCTCTGCCTGCACACCCATGTGCACCACAGACCGCCCAGGCGCCAGTGTACAAGCCCCGGACACTTGACGCCTGATGTTCCTCTAGCTGCTGGGGTGCCCGCCATGGGGCAGATACCTCCAGCCGGCACTGGCCCCGGGCAGCTGGCAGCAGGCCCATCAGACAGCGCTCCCTGGCCTGGCCCTCAGTGTGTGGATTCCTCAAGAAGTAATTAACCTAAATTGAGCCTGTTTGGCATAAATAAATTAGCCACCTGCATCATCTGATTTGCCAGCCCACAGGCTTGGCTAGCAGGTGAGCGTCCCTGTAGGGGGAGCCGGGGTCCCTGCAGCCCCCACATCGGGGAGGACGGTGTCTACCTGCAGGTGGCAGAGGAGGTGGCCCGTGGGTGCCGACTCACACCCCAGGTGAGCCTTGGTGGCTGAGGCTCTGCACTGTGCCTGGAGCTCTGCACTGGCAGAGAGAAGAGCCTGAGGGGTTCGCCTGGGACTCTGGCGGGTTCCTTCCACCAACCCCTGAGGGCTGAGCCCTGCAGGTCAGGGAGGTGCCACCCTCTGGCTGCAGGACCATGCTGGGCTTCAGGAACTGGCCTTGGGGATTTGTGCACCACGTGGGGCTGCTTGTGGCCACTCATACAGGCTGCATATGGTTTTGGGGGATCCAGGACGGGGACATGTTTCTGCTAGTCAGAGTGAGCCTGGCTTATGCTGCAGAAACAAATGGTCCCCAAATCTTAGGGCTTGAAGGACGTTTGCTTCTCACAGCCATTACCAACCAGTCCAGTGAGCTCTCTTCAGAGGGACTCTGTCTCACAGAGTCACTCAGGGACCCAGGCTGGTGGGGCTTCTGCCACCGCCATGTGGCTTCCAGGAAGGCAGTCCAGCCCCTAGACAGTGGGGCCTTCCCTCTGTGCTCGGTCTCTTGTGACTAAGCCAGGCATAGCCTGAGGTGCGTTACCCACAAGACCACATGCTTTTGCTTCTGCTAGGGGCGGAGGGGAACTGTCAGTCAAGCTCCATTTTAAACCACCTCCACTGATGCGTTCACATTTCACCCAGCCTGGTGCTGGTTTTCAGTGTTCGGGGACTTTGGGGTTCCATCTCCACGCCTCTCACTACCCGCCTCCCTCCCAGCTCTCTACTGTGCAGCCTCCTCCTCGGCAGCCCTTCCTCAGCTGCCCCTTCCATGTAGGCCCTCTGGGATTCTGCCTTGGTATCCGCCTTCCAGCACTCGCCACCTTCCACCGTCTCCTCCCGTTTTCTCGAAAATGTCTGTGCACGCCCTCCCTACCCTTCCTGTCCCAAACCGTCTGGGTGGTCTAGTCATTGTGGCCGGAGCTCCGTTCATCAGCCCCAGCTGCCCCAGGCATCAGGTCAAGGGGTCCCCGTGCCTTCCCTGCCAGGCCCTGCCTTGCCACATGGCCCCGTGTCCTGGTGACTCTCAAACCATGCGTTCTAGGTTGTTCTGTCTCACTTGGACCATGGCAGTGACCTGTCATTAAATAGACAAAGAACTGAAAAAAAGCCTTCTAGTCTGCAATGAAAAATCAATTTATGATCATTGTGGAAAAATTAGAAAGGAAAGATTAGCAAAAAGCCAGAGCTAAAATACATCCATGATCCTGGATCAGCACGGATAATTGCTTCCAGGTGGCCTGGTCTTGTGCCGTGGGCTTTGGACACTTATTTTAATACCCGGCCCAGTGCTGTATAGCAGGATGCGGGGGGTGGCAGAAGTGGCGAGGGTGGGCCTGGTCAGGCCAGGTGGGGGCTTTTCCATGCTGCCTGCCTGCTGGTGTCCCCGGCGCTGAGATGGGGCCTTGAGGAA